GACTCAGGACTAGATAGCCAGGCTTTCTCAACCATTTTTTGGCAACCAAACTTTCTTGGAATAGTCATCTTTCTTTCAAGTTATTCAGCACAGGCATTAGTAATAAATCCTCGGTTATAGATACATAACCAAAAATCATTCACATGGCCTCTTTCAAACCTAAAAGCTCATACTAAAATTATTTTAAATAGATCACACAAAGCAGGGCCAACTCTTCCTTGGGGATAATTAATTGCTACCATATGAAGCTGCAAGAACACTGTGACCATGTTCAATTTTTAGCTTTGTTATGCCACTACTTATCTAGAAACTAGCTGGGTGACGTTAGCTTCTAACTGGAAGACAAAGGGAGATAAGTGAGCTGAGAGCAGAGTTGTTTGATGGCAAAGTGTTCCCGAATGAAAGTGGTAGTACATAATGGATGTTTTCAGAGTAAGACAGTATTAAAACGGACAGTGTTTCCTCTTCACCGACTGTCTCCATTCATTAATGTGGGGTGGGATAGAACAGGAGGCTAAACCAGGGCCTCTCTCATACTAAGCGAGAGCTACGCCCCAGCTGTTCTAAATCACTTGTAAACTTTGCTCAGAACATACACTATGCGAGCCTATGAGCAGATACAGTTCTTTAAGAATGTTCAACCAAGGGTACACGGGATGCAAAAAAGCCTGCAGGGGCAGTGAGGCTCCTTTTAAAACCACAGCCATTCATCTTATCTCTTCTACATCACTAGTCACCATCCAAACTGTGAGCCGTGTCCTTCCCAGTCTAAATACTAAATAATATTCACCCTCCAGTCAGACCCCAGTTTCTTGAATACTCATTTCACCCGCTGGCATCCCCCTGGCCCTCTTTGCTGTGACTTTAAGGACTTTTGAGCAGTGAGTCTCATTCTCAGAGGTCCCTTGCCCACCACGCCCAGCCCTTCTCTTCAATGCCTTCAGCGTTTGCAAAGACGACATCGTCGACTTGTGCTTCTGTCTTCTCTCTCCAGTGATCTCCATCACACTGTCTGCCTCCTCAGTCCTTCATACAAGCCCTGGATCTTGTCATCTCCCAAAGCTTTGCTGCCGTCTATGTCAATTAACCCAGCATCCTGATGTCCTTTCAGTGTCTCGTAGCCTGACGACCCAGCAACGTCTACTACTCCTCATTAGTTAAGCTGTGCGAATCCCTATGTGCAGTTCTTGTACATAGTCTACTGTGTCTACATACTCTCCTTTAACCAGTCTTTTATTCCTAACCCATCATTAAACAAACCCTCTTGCAAACAAATACCCCCAAACCTCAGTAGTTGCCGCCATTATCTGGCATGCTCCTGGCGGACGGGTGATGCCGGATAACCCCGGAGTACGTTGTGTATCAGCGGTTAATCTCCCTTGGGCTCCCTGGAACAGACAGCTCCTTACTGGCTATTTCTGTTGGAATGGCTGCTCGGTACTTCAAACTCAGTTTGTCTGCAAATGAGCTCTACCCCAGGCAGACCGCAAATGCCCTCTCCAGAGACAAATCGACCTCACCCTTCCCAGTAGATTCCATCAGCATGCAGGCGATTGCTCAGGCCAGCAACCTTGACATAGTGTCACTCACTCGCATCTGATCAGTCCATAAGATTGATTATAACGTCCCAGGAGTCTCTCCCGATACTCCATACGTTAACGTCTCTAGCATAAATCTCCTAGTTGGCTACCTTCCCTCTACACTTACCTCTTAAATCCATTTTCTATAATATCTAGAGTCTTTTAGAAATGTGAATTTTACTGCGTCGTTCCTATGTCCTCCAAAGAACATTGGGATAAGTTGAAATTCTTTCTTTGCCTTTAAAATAATTTATGTTTTATTAGCCTCTTTTTGCAAGTCAGGGAGTTGTAGCTTGCATTCATTAAGTTGCCCACAAGCTGTGATTTATTTCCCAGGGCCAGGATTTTTTTTCTTTTATTGAAAAAAATGGATCCCCCCCCATGTAAAATACACTGATTATGGTTTTCTCTCCCTCTCTTCCTTCCAGTTCTCCCCACCTCCCCTCCTGTCGGGGTCCACCCACTTTTAAAAGTCTCTGAAATGAAAAACCAAACAGGCTTCTAAGGGATACAAATAAAAAATACAGTTGGGTAAAACAAAGACTAGCACATCAGAACAGGACAAAACAAACAGAAGGGAAGAGGCCCAAGGAAAGGACAAGACATCAGTGCAGATGCAGAAACCCACTCAAATATTTGCACACTCGGGGATCCCATAGAAACACAAAACCGGAAGCCAGAATGTATACCCAAGGGACGTGTAGGACAAAAGGAGAGAAATAATAAAAATAAAAAAAAAATAAGATTTAAAAAGGCCCTGATGTGACGTTCTAAGACAAGGAACTTCCAGAGGCGCCCAGGAAGGAACACTAGTGAGGATTTTCTGTTCAGAATGTTTGGATGGAATGATAACATAAAGAGGAACATGTATAAAGGAATTGCTCAGTGTGATTTGGAACACCAAATAAAGTTATCTTTAAATACTAAAATACTAGTAATACTTCAGCAGCTTTAAAATTAGTGGCAAATACAGCTTTTTTTTTTTAAGAAGGCAAAAGCATTTCCAATCTCTTTCCATTTAAAAATGTCCTTGACAGTTTCACACATGTACACAGCGAGCTTTAGTCCTTCCTGTGTCCCCTTTTCATGTTACCTTCCCTTCACGCTGAAACCTGCCCTCTTCCCAGAGTGCCGCCTCCTCCTCG